CCATCCATCCATCCATCCATCCATCCATCCATCCATCCTCCATCATCTATCCACTCATCCACTCACCCATCCATCCACCCACTCATTCGGCCACCTACCTACCCACTCATCTATGAATCCTTACTTTTTTCCTTCTACCCATCAACTGTTCCATCCATCCATCCATCCATCCATCCATCCATCCATCCATCCATCCATCCATCCATTTACAAATCCCTTCATGAACCATTCACTCCTCACTCAACCACTCACCTCCTACCTATCCCGTTCATCCATTAACTCAAACAGTCAACTGCTGGCGAGTTGGAGTAGATTTGACATTCCTTCCTTTCTATGAGATCTCAGTCTGGTGGGGCGGTTACATACAGTGCAGACCATCCCACCTCAGTGTGCTCACGTCTGGAGAGACGGGAAAACCCAGGCTGAGGGGCTCGAGAAGAGCTGTGAGGGCTCTACCCTGGATGGTATGGGGAAGGCAGCAGGGAAGAGGGGTGGAAAATGAAGGCATGCTTGGCCCTGGGTCCAGCTTGGGCAAAGTCCTAGAGGCTTGGAAAACAGACTGTGTGTATGGAGGATGGGGAAGGGAGAGAAATGCACCTGGGTTACTTGAGAAGCGTTGTGAGCTCCAGGGTGCATGCGGGCAATAGGGAGCCATGCTGGGTCTCTGAGCAGGTGAGGACATCAGTGCCACCCTTCCTTCCCCGCTCTCTCAGGTCTGGAGGTGACACCAGGCCCTGGGGCCTACAGCCCAGAGAAGGTGCCCCCTGTGCGCCATCGGACACCACCAGCTTTCACCCTGGGCTGCCGTCTCCCTCCTAAGCCCCTGGACACCTCAGCCCCTGCCCCTAATACCTACACCATGCCCCCTCTGTGGGGCTCACAGATCTTCACCAAGCCCAGAAGCCCCAGCTACACGGTGGTGGGCCGCACACCCCCTGTCCGCCCCCCGCAGGATCCTGCCGAGATACCAGGCCCGGGCCAGTACAACAGCCCGGACGCCAACACCTACCGCCAGCGCCTGCCCGCCTTCACCATGCTGGGGCGGCCCCGGGCCCCGCGCCCCCTGGAGGAGACCCCCGGCCCAGGCGCCCACTGCCCAGAGCAGGTCACCGTGAACAAAGCCAGGGCTCCAGCGTTCTCTATGGGCATCCGCCACTCAAAACGGGCCAGCACCATGGCCGCCGCCACGCCCTCCAGGCCTTCGGGGCACAGGCTGCCCGGCTGCTGCTGCTAGGCCAGGCTTGTTTCCCACACGGTGAACGGGGGCGTGGGCGGGCCTCTCCTGGGGCCTGGCGTTTGTTGGAGGGGCTAGAAGCCGAGAGGGACTGGGAAAGGAGTATTCCCTTCCCTTTCCTGAACTGTCCGGGTCCTTCTAGGATACCTGATCCTTCCAGTCCCTGGGGGCTGTGACCCGTGGCCCTCTGCAGGGTGCAGGGTGAGTCTCCTTCCAGTGCCCCAGTTTCTTCCAGTTTCTTCCAGGTCACACCAGGCCAGGCCAGGCCAGGCGGGGAAAGGGACACCTTCCGGCCCTCCCCAGTAGCTGGCTGGAGATGGAGCTTCCTGTGTCCTAGAACTCGGCGTCCAGCCCCACTAGGGCCTGGGTCCTCATCACAGCTTGGGTTTCTGCCACATTCGGACTCTTCCCTGTCTCATGGAAATGTGGCCACCAGCCCCGGTCCCAGCCCAGACTCAGGCTGGAGGCAGCCCTGAGGCCTGTGCGTTTCCCACTCCACCTTCTACAGTTGCTTAGCCAATAAACCTTTCCCGGGCCGCAAAGCTGTCAGCATCATACCGGCTGGCTCATTTAATGTGTCTACTGATGTCACAGAAAGGAGACACAAACGCTGCCCTCCAGACCCAGACCCATAGCCCTCCGGTGCCCAGGGGGTCTGAGAGACCACGAGAGGACCCAGGGCGAGGGGAGGCTGGAGGTGGAGCCAAGCTTTTGAGCAGGGAGCCAGGTAGGCTTCCAGGAAGAGGGAATATTGAAGCGGGGTTTTGAAGGATGTATAGGAGCTTGATGTATTCTGATATCTGCCATCAGTAGCTGCTTGCTATGTTTTGGATATTAATAAAGATCATCTATGCTTCATAGCAACTCGGGACCAGGTGGCATTTACGGAGAGGAAATGGTGCTTTGGGGAGACCAGACATTTGTCCTGGGGTGTGCTGCCAGCCCCCGCCTCAGTCTGATGTCAGGATTTGAACCCTGGAGGTTGGACTCAGTTTCTGCCACTGTCTCCTAGCAACAGGAAGGAAACCCACTGGTGGTGGCCTGTGACTGAGCCCTCTGTGTGCCAGGGAAGGATGGCACCGGGATCACCATACAAACCTCCCATCCAAAAAGACTCTAATCCCGGAGCTTGGGAGGGTCGGACGCTGCCCTGGGACCTCTCTGAGGGATGCCGCCCGGGAGGCACGCAGGGCACAGAGAAGGGGTGGTGGGGCCGCCCTCTCTTCACCCTACAGCCCTCAGCCTGGGGCCGCCAAACCTGACCCATCCTTCACCCAGTAGGTGAACACACCCCGGACCCTGCAGCCTGGATCCCCTGCGTATGTCTGGACACGCGCCCAGACACAGCGTCCCCCGCGCACACAACACACCCACCGCGCGCAGGTCCAGCCGCGGCTCGTCCCCGACCCATCGCGCCCACGATCCGCTCCTCCCGCGGACGCGCGCCCGGGCAGAGACGGCCAATCGCGGCCGCGCGCCTCCCTCCCCTCCCCCCTCCCCGGCCCCGCGGGCGGCGCCGGCTGTGACCTCATCCTCTGATTTATCGATCAGGCTCCGGGCGGCCTCGCCCCCCCTCCCCACCTGCCGGCGCGTCCCGGCCCCTCCCTTTGTTCCCGGCAATCAGCCCTGCTTGGGGCGGGGCACGGGCTGGGGTGCTCCGGCCAAGTCGGGCCAGGAGGCTGGGTCCCGGGGTGACAGTGACACCCCGTTTTCTGGTGCAGAAGGAACCGACCCTGGAGGGAAGGTGCGGCCGGTCTCGGAGAGGCTGAGGCTGGGGCCCGGAGCTCAGATGAGCTGGTGCAGGACCGGGCTCCCCAGAAGTGACAGAGGAAGGGCCGCAACCCTCCAGCCCGCTCCCCTGGGTTACACCCGGAGAAACTGAGGCCGGGACAGGCCGCAGAGCAGGGGCCCGGCTCCGCTCCTAGCACCCCCTCCCAGAGCCGGCACTCCTGGGTCTGAGCCTCCGCTGTGCGCCCTCGGCCGCGCCCCTTCCCCTCCCCGGGCCTCAGTTTCCCCACTAGGAAATAGGGGTGACCCTGAGGTATCCTCTAGCTGGAACAACGGAGAGGGAGGGGCTGACGTTAGGGTCTGGGGTTCTCTTTTCCCTGGCCACGCCTCCCCGGGCCTCAGTTTCCCCCTTAGTCAACGGGAAAGAAGGGAGGTGATTGCTAAGCCTCTCCAGCTCGGTCCTTCTGGGAACTTGGGCGGCGGGCGGGGGTGGGGGGCGCAGTGGGGAGGGTCGCTGACGGGGTTCTGGGTTCAAAGCCCCGTCCCGCCTTGGCTGCGGGTTCCAGGCCAGCGCCCAGTGTCCTCAGAGGGCCTCAGTTTCCCTAGCTTCGCGGCCAGGCGCCGGGACGAGGAGGGCCGGGGTCCCAGGGGCGCAGCCCCCCGCGGCTGCGCGCTGGGCCGGGCGGATGACATCACCGGGCCGGGGGCGGGAGGGAGCGGGCGGAGCGGGAGGGCCTCCTCCGCGCCAGGCGCAGCGCCCGGTCGGGCTCCGTGGGGCGGCCGCGGCCATGACGCAGGGTCCGGGCGGGCGCGCGCCCCCGGCGCCCCCCGAGCCCGAGGCGCCCACCACCTTCTGCGCGCTGCTGCCCCGAATGCCGCAGTGGAAGTTCGCGGCCCCGGGCGGCTTCCTGGGTCGCGGCCCGGCGGCGGCGCGGGCGGCTGGGGCCTCGGGGGGCGCGGACCCCCAGTCCGAGCCGGCGAGCCCGGGGGGCGTCCCGGCGCTGGCGGCCGCTGTCCTGGGCGCCTGCGAGCCCCGCTGTGCGGCGCCCTGTCCCCTGCCCCGCGCTCAGCCGCTGTCGGGGCGCGGCCGGGGCCGCGGGCGCGCGGGGGCGCCGGTCCGGGGACGCCGCCGCCGCCGCGAGTGGATCCGGAAGGGCAGCTTCATCCACAAGCCCGCGCACGGCTGGCTACACCCCGACGCCAGGGTCCTGGGCCTGGGGTCTCCTACGTCGTGCGGGTGAGTCCCCCCACACCCCCGCCAGGAGCCCGTGCGCGCGGCCTCCCTCTCCCCACCCTTTCCTCCGGACCCCCCGGAC